AGAACTTTGTAACAGAAAATGTTCTGAAATGTTCAATTAAAGGACGGGGCTTATAAGAGTCAAAATCTTCCCTTGATATTTCTGAACAAGAGTTGATGCTGGTCGTGAATATCAGGTCAAAACTGGAAAATAGTTAAGTTTTGATAGAAAAAAATCGATTCTACTGACAGACGGAGTCAGCGACCTGGTTCATTAAAAACAGGCCTTTCCCCCTTGGATTTGATATAGAAACCTCCAAAACCGCCTATATATACTCAAAAATGTTCCAGCTTTCCGATACGGAACAGAAATACGCTTCAAACTAGTGTTTTCAGGTCAAAACAGCCGTTTGACGTCGAAAATTCGTGAAAAACCTGTTATTCGGCCTCGTCATTTGACTTTTCCGCCAATAGGATAAGAGGTAACATTACCCGAATGACAGAGATGTATGCAGTTTTCAATGCTCTATCAAACGATGGTAAAATATGTTTTCCAAAGTTTAGCCATTTTCGGAAAATCCGGTTTTTTCAAGTAAGGTTTTCCAGCAAACGTTACAAAATCCGATTTTGACCTGAAAACTCTAGTTTGAGCCGTATTTCTGTTCCGTATCGGAAAGCTCAGACATGTTTGAGTATATATAGGTGGTTTTAGAGGTTTCTATACCAAATCCAAGGGGGAAAGGCCTGTTTTTAATGAACCAGGTCGCTGACTCCATCTGTCAGTAGAATCGATTTTTTTCGATCAAAACTTAACTATTTCCAGTTCTGACCTGATATTCACGATCAGCATCAAATTCTGCATCGAATAAGGTATCTTTAGAAAAAGTCTGAGTAAAACCTTTTCTCGATGTTCCAAAGGTGGGGTCACTACAAATTTTCCGAAACATTGAAAATGGTTTTTCCAAGGTGCCCATTACCTCATTCAACGCAGAATTTCACGCTGATTCTGAATATGTAACTCTTGTTCAGAAATATCAAGGGAAGATTTTGACTCTTATAAGCCCCGTCCTTTAATTGAACATTTCAGAACATTTTCTGTTACAAAGTTCTGTAGAAAGTTTCACCATATAGTTTTATATTATTTAAAAAAGGTAATTTTTTTTTATAGTAATGCCAAGACAAATTTATCTCGACATTCTTTTTTTTGTTAAAAAGAATCGTATAGCCAGTAGTAATCACTACAAATACTAGAATAAAATATTTATTAGTTATTATTAACTAGAAATGAGAGAATGTTAGAGAACCTCTCAAGGATAATAATCCATTTTCTGAGTTCTATAAGATAACTCTAAGCATTCATATGATAATTATCACATTGTTTTTGTGGACTAATTCTGTATTTATAAAACAAATATGTAAGTTCAACTATATTGTTATTTTTAGTGGTAGAAGGCACAGGCGATGTTCAAGGATAGTTGATCAATAAAGTTATGATGAAAGTATCACTTAGAATGTGTATGTGAAAGGTTGTAAAACAACAGTAAGTATTATCGAAGAAATTTAAATATACAGAAAAGGAGAAAAACACTAAAATAAGTAAGGAAAGATAAAACGATATGTATTGCCACTTCTCACTTGTCAAAATCAGTATTTTATTATTTTTATTGTCACTAAAGCAGGAACTTGAAAATCTCAATATCGTAATTGAATCGAAATGGTTCTATAGTGATAGATAGTTGAAACAAATAGCTAAACGGTGAATTCAACGATGACGACTGTTAATCATGATTTGTTGTAATGGATTATTTTTTACCAGTACAAAATCCTCAAAAAGAGTATCTCATATTTATAAACTAAATAAAAAACTTCACGAAAACGTAAAGTTCTGTTGATATTTTTTAATCTTTATGTGAAGGTCAGAAAACTGAGGGCGTATGTGCACTTTTAAGCTTAATTCTAATCTTCTATAGAACAAGTATAATAACAAGCATATTTTCAATCAAAAACAGTAACTCTTTGCTTCTTGTCATTTAATTTTTCATGTTTTTCCTGTTCTTCGTTTATTCATTCGTTTCTTTTTATTTTATTTTTGTGTCTTCTCTTCTAAAATTATTATTTTCTTTTATTCTTTCTACAACTGCATAAATATTATAAATTATAGATATATAACGAAAGCATAATCTCAATAACCCATCAAACAATGTTCTTCATTTTTGTTTTTGTTTTTATGAATTATTTTACACATTTTATAGGTCATCAAATTGAAAAGCAGACAAAAAACTTAAGACAAATTTTTGTTCAGAATAAAAAATATATGAAAAATATTACTTAGAAATATTACTGTTGTCTATACATATACACGCGTCCATATACGTTCCAATTAAATTGTATAGGTGTTATTTTCTAGTAACCTTGAAATATGTAAAAAAACAGTGATTCTAAAATGGGACCAGTGTACATCTACAACAAGAAGAAGAAGAAAAAAAAAAGAAACGATCGAACTTATTATTTTCAATAAGAAATAAGAAAAAGGAAAAGAAAATCTTTAAATAATATATTTATATGTGTGTGTGTGTGTATGTTTGTGCCAAGGTAGTATACATAATTGACAATAACAGTAATTTAAGATGATGAAGAATATTATTGTAAGTAGTAAATTCTACTATAAACAAATATAAAACGAACACATTATTGAGACATATATAAATTATATTTTATGAGAAATGAATTTACACAATTAATCACGGTTAACCATTTATCAAAAGTAAGAATAATTATTAAAATATATTCGCTTAGCTGATTTCAACACATATTTTATAGTTTTTTCTTTTCTGTTTTTACATAATTCTTTCTCTTCTTGTTCTTGTTCTTCTTCTTCTCGTCATCGTCATTTTTAACAAAATCATTTACTTCAGGTAAAAGACTTGTCTATGGATGGAGATGAAATAAAACTGAAAAAAAAGTAGAAAAATAGAGTTGATAGTCGCAGAAACAGAAATAACATCACGACACGGCGTCTCAACATCGAACAACCAAGGACAGAGAGTATATATATATTTGTTTGGTGTGTTTTGAACTATATTCTATTTTAAGAAAGATTAACGAGATACAACTTGATTTCTATTTTGTTTTTTTAATCTTAAAATAGAAAGAGTCTATCTTCAAATAAAAAAAGTACAAAAATGGCTACTACAGGACAACGTCGAATGACAACAACTTCATCAGTGAGTCAAAAACATCAACCAAGACGATATGTTTTAGATGATCCATATAAAACAAATCGTCGACAACAACAACAAACTACTAGAATTAAAACAAATCGAAATACTAATAATATGAGAGGTACAATAACAAACAAATATGATATTCTGTCAAATATAATAATAAAAAATGTTGTTAAAATGAACGTCACTATTATACTCATATTTACAATAAAAATAAAGTTTAATAAAATATTTTCCTGTTTCAGGTATTAATAATTCGAATGATTCTGATCAACAACAATATTTATCTAGATCTGGTTCAAGTGAATATTTGATTCGTAATGGTCAAACAATAACAGCAACTGAATATGGTCGTATGTTACACGATAGTGAATCATCATCAGGAACCGCCACAAGATATATCGATGATAATAGTATCAGACAAATGTTAGAAACAGACGAAAATGGTGAACAACTCTTATCATCGAGATCATTAACATCATCAATGGCAACGGATGTTAGAAATTATCCCATTAATATTGATCCTAATCCAGAATTAATTGTTCGACCAAATACTCAACGTTTAACATATACACACGATGTAGCTGTGAGATATTTGCGTCCTCCAACACCGCCACCTCCCGGGGTAAGAAGTTCGTGATTTTCACATATTCTAAATGAAAAAATAAGAAAACTGTTATTCAAAATAAAAGAAAAAGAAGTCTGTTGAATGTCTTGATCAAAATCTAATCTACTTTGGATTTGGTAGTTTAGAAAAATTGATGGACGGGTTGTTTCAACTGGCGCATTCTAAATGTTCTTATAGTAGAGACAAGTAAAAAATCAATTTTCTCTTCTCTTTACAGCCAATTGTTATTCGTGAAATTCGTGCACCGCCTCCTCCTCCAGCAGTAAGTTTGTTGAAACTATCTTTTTTGAAAGACTAACTCTATAAATATCATTTTGTTTAGCCTCCAATTATTTTGAGACAGCGTCCACCTCCTCCAAGAACACCATCACCAGTTATTATTAGAGAACGACCACCAAATCGACCAAAATCGATACCAACAACAGTGATAAAAAGTGAGCTATCATATTAACTTAGGGAAACTTATATTCAATCTGTTAGTTGAATATTTTCGTCACAACAATTGTAATTCGATTAAATTTATGTATTCTGCGTTTTCAGAAGTGATACCACCTCCAGCTCCACCACCACGGAAACTGATTATTGAACGTTTACCCAATTTACCTCCAAAACCTCGTCCAGTAATTATTGAACGGTGGCTACCGTACAACAAACAAAAGCGTCAAGTGGTTCATGAACGTGCCAAACCATTAGAACCAACGGCACGAATAAAAAATACCATTATAGAATGGAGACCACCAGAAGTTGACTTAGTTAAACATGTTAAAAAATTAGGCATACAACAAGCAGATCCGGTGAGATATTATCAACAATATGGAGATAAACTATATACAACAGGTAAATTAAGAAAATATATGGAATATAAAGACTATGGAACAAACAATTCGTTGCTGTTTTTTTTGTAGATTTTATCCAGCGAAAATTTCAAGAATTAGGTCTACGTGATGAATTAATTGTTTTACAACAGCAACAACTTCAGGCTGAACAACCTAGAACAAGTGATAATGAACTATATGATTTACAAAATAGTGAGGAGTATAGTTTAGGTCAAATGTATCGTACATCTGGAGCACAAACCTCATCACGTCAGTATAATTCATTAGTACGTCTATTAAATGAAGAAAATATTGATACATCACAAATAAATATTGATCAAATTATAAGTGATCAAGTGTATGATATTGAACGTCATTCACCTATTACTGCCTATGATGGTAGTTCACGTGAAAGTGGAATATTAAGAAATAGTAACATAGATAATATTGATGATCAAGGATATGTATTAACAGAAGAAATTATTCGACGTAATTACGATAATAGCGGCAAATTTCCTACACATTTATTAACGAAATTAGGTTCACATGTCTATGATATGCCGTATGATCAAGTTGGTCTATCGACGGGAAGTGGAAATCAACGATTGAATAGTCGAATATATTATGACAGTGGAAATCAATCAAATCAAGAAGAAAAATATGGGGAAAGCAAGTCATCCGATTTACAAGATCTATCCAATAATTATGATGGTGGGTACATAACGGCAGCAACGACGACAACTACCAGTGGAGCAGACGAAGGAACTGAGAAGAATCATGGTCTGTTGAACTTTTAACGAGTCAGAAAAATATGTTTTGACTCTTTTACTACTCTAAACCAATGTCGTTGCTTGATTATACCCATTTAAAAGTATTGCTAGCATTGGGGTTTTCCACTATGGAAAAATCAAACATTTATCGAATGCATAAGTTAGAGATAGTGACATAGTTCTTGCTATATGTATTATTTAATTAAAGACTGCTGTTTCTTTTTCCTGTGAATACTGATATAATATGGATGTTGCATATCAAGTTTCTCAGGGTTTTTCTTAGCCGTTTTATTTTTATTATCATATATAAGATAGATTTTTTTTGCCAGAATAATTGCTAAGCTTCGTATAAGTAAAACATCTGCATGTCGACGTGCTTCAACGTCATTTTTTCGTTCTTCAGAGAAAAAAAAATATATAGGATATAAGCCTTAACTTTATGGAGCTTATTAAGTTGTATTTTCTTTAGCAGTCTACATGGACAAATTTTTGTTGTTCACGAACATTATATTTTCTTTTTTTCTCTTGTACAAAGATATAATTTTAATGACCTTCAACATTTGGTGTGTTTCTATTTTCTTAGAAGTTGCTTGAAAAAATAATCGTGCTGCGTATAATACTCAAATCTCGTTTGAATATCTATCAGTGTCTTGTTTTTATCCGTACATTGATATATTTTCTGACTCAAATATTAATATATTAATAACAGATATCTCTTCGGATGCACGCACATTAACAAATTATTAAAAGAATAACTAATTAAATTCTATTTAAATCATATACTCTTCTTTTGTTATAGCTAACAATTACACTGTTCTTTCAGCTTTTGATTGGTATTTCACTCCCAGCTGGCTTTGCAATCTTTGCGGGGTATACTTGTTCTATAAATATACAATAAGGTAACTTATAATCGGAGTGCAAAGGAAGAAGCATTATTAAAATCTCAATGGATAATTGATGAATCTAAGTTGTGTCAAATAGTGCAATCATTTACAGATCGATGAGACTCAACGTCATTGGATGAAATCTTAAATTTGAGTGAAAACATAGCTAATTCGGTCACAAAAGTTGGATTTCTTCAATCAGGCACAGCAAGGGTGCAACCAAGATTTTTCGATTTTTGGGCTATAGAGTAAAAAAAATTAGTAGGTCCAGGTGGACCAAAGGCTTTCTGCTTGGGCCACAAATTTTGCAGACCGTTGCCATTTCTAACGCTAGCGTTTTTCCTGCTCCTCTTCAATGACAAAAAGATTGAAAAATCGAGACACGTAAAATATTTTGAGCTACAATGCAACGCATAGGTTTGTTGAAGCATACAAAATGCTGTTCAGCCTACTACTGTTCTAACAATAAACGTCTTTCAGCTAGGTAACAAAAACTACATAGGAGTGACAAAGCTATCATTCGGCGTTAAGATCTCGAGAAAGTCGATTCCACTATATGTTGGCTGCTGTCCTTTCACATATTGTTCTACATTACGAAGCTGAGCGGGATGGTTTATCTTGCGTGAGAGAATTATTTTATAAGAAAACAATTAAAAATCCTAATCAGGATGAGCAGACAGATGATTAGAATTTGTGTTCGAGAACGAAAAAGAAAAAAAATTCACGACTACTGAACCAATAATAGAAAGACCGAATAGCTGTTTCCGGGTTTTTAATGAAAAGTAGATATCAGCCAATCAACAAGTAGTTGCTACGACGTAAGGCAATCTTGCGGAAGCTATTCTAACATGAGCAACAAGTAATGATCGTTGAAATAGGTCACAAAGAACATCGACCGTTAAGAAAAGTTTTGACTGAATGACTTTTATATATATAAGGTTGCACAGAACCGACATTGTCCTATACTTTGTTGTTACTCTCCAAGCTGATAGTTCCTCTAATAGAGCTGATGGTTCTGTATGCCGTTCATCGCATTTTAACTCTGGGTTATCAGAAGTTTTCCACAAAGAAAACGGTGAAAGACTTAAGGTTTACTTAATCTACGAAATTTTATAAGTCTTACACTGAAAAATGTTGATTTCCGCCAAAACAGGATGTCAATAAAACACAAATTTCTTCATTAAAAATTTGTTTTAAAATTTACATTTTTCAGAAAAATCTATTTTTCTTCCTTTCTTGTATTGCAATGTTTGAAAAAGACAAAGACAGACAAATTAGAACGAAAAGAAGAATTTTGCATATACATACATTCGTCTCCTTTTCACTTTCTCATTAAGCTTTGAAAATGACCCACTGTATAGGTCGAAAGCTAAGATTGTGTTTGTGTTTTGAATAAATACAATAAAATGATTGATGCACTAGTACGCTTTGTTTTACTGTTCATAATATGTCTGATAAAGAACTGAATTCTACATAAAATCAGATTAAATAAACCTAAAATCTTTGACCGTCCATTGTCAAGAAAAAAAAAGAGTAAGCACATGATAATTTACTCTGCATTCGCATCTTACTTCATGTCATCTCTTGCTCACGACAAATTTCATCCAGAATTGATACTCAAAAAAAGCGTTGGGTCAGATACACCAGAAAATTTTCTGTTGAGCCGAGGCTCAGATTGCATTGGGTCATGGCTCAATGTCCCATTATTGAATGACTACAGTAACTTTGTATTTAATTGTAATAATTTCAGATACAATTATGCATTGACTAACAATATTATTCCCAATGAAATAGGCAAACTATATCTCGCTCATATCTCATGCTGACTCAATGAAACACTCAGGATAGCTTATAAATAGTAATCGAAGACGAAAAAAGTGAATTCCAGCTGGGTATTGGTTTAAGATTTTCTCGAAACCTTCCGAAAAACCTCAAAGCCTCAGTGTTCTGCTGGACGACTTTTCGACTTGATCAACAATATATGACGCCTTTTAAGTCTTTTCTGAAAATTTTATTGAGTCAGCATGAGATTTGACCGAGATATAAGGATTTTAATTTTTGCTGGTAACAGGCAAAAAATCGGTTTTTCATAAAAATGCGTCCGGCGAAGTTATTTTCATTTCTACACAAAAATAAATGTTGCTACTATTCTCAGCGTAGTCGATTACCTATATTCCATGGCATTTCAAGATTCCCAAAGATGTCTACTCAGAAATAGACACGCACTCGGGGAAAGTGAACCCTGTCTGAACGACGATAGCCGGAGAGCTGGGATTTGCATAATTGTAGAGTAACGTCCGGACTAACTACGTATGCAAAACCATTACTGACTTTATATGTTGGTTTTCTGAGAACGGAGCTGATTTTCCAAAGATCCTCTGGAAAATCGGACTTCTAGAGAATTTTGAAACAAGTTTCTGCTTACAAGAACATGTCTTAAGGTCTTAACAATATGATAGTGAAACCCGCAGATCTCTATCTCATTTCTATCAAAGTTATTCAAAAAATAACCATCCGCATTTTTTTTTTTGGAACGGATAGTAGTCCGAAAAAGACTACTCATAAATTGTCGCAGCAATTCGATGAAAGTGATGATGTTAAAGACATTTTAAGTAGTCATAATGGAGACGATATATGATCTGAAGAGTATGAAAGTTCATGTTTAGTTCCGTACTAAAAATGGTCGGTATTGTAAGTCTTGAAACTGGAATCTTATATTATTTTTATAATAATATCTTCAATTTCTGTAATCATCTCTAGTTTGCCACTTTCTTCAGGAGTTCCGGAGTAGTTTGTGGCGGGGGAGAACAGGTTATCATACATGGATGGGCGAGAAATGCTCCATCAATGAGACTACCAGACGGTATGTAATGAGACATAGTGTCAGTACTTCTCTTCACCATCTCTTAGGTTGCACAAAGAGAAATGATAAGCAAGTTCGAGTTGTTTCACTGACTCGTTCTTTATGAGAAATTTCGAATGCTAGTCAAAGTACTGCATAATACTTGTTCGTTATAGAACAAATCTTTCTATTTCAGATGTTGGATTTTCGGCTGGAAAGAATACACCATACAGATCAGAGATGGGCGATAGTCGAGGACCCTCACGAGGTCTCGCGATCCTTCACGGGGCAGACTCCGCGAGAAAGATTTTTTGAAAACGGATTTTTTGATGGGGCACGGGGCGATGACGAGACAGGAACTTCACGATGCGAACCTCGCGAAGGACATTTTTTTCTTGTGAGTCAAAGATGTTATGTTTATTTTGATCTATTTTTATAATAAAGCCGGTTCTTTGGTTCTTCTTATGAACCAAGATGAAACAATGAATAGTTTATGTTAGCAGAACTACTAGTTCTTCTTTTTTACCAAAAACTATAAAAGAGTAGAATCAATTACCAAGAGAAGTGATTACTGCCTTTAGTACTCGAGCTTTTAAACATGCATTAAAGAAACATCTTTTTTCTTAGAATAATTCATAGTACTCTCTAAAAAAAAGGCATTCGATAGAACCTCTTTTTGTACCCAATTCTAGAACCATTTTTATGAACCTTTTTAGGTTCAAGACTTTCTGGCTAGAACTGTTTTGTAAAAAAATGCGATAAAAGGTTCTGCCCGGAAAGTCTAAAGCCTAAAAAGGTTCAAGCCGGAAAGTCTGGAACCTAAAATGGTTCTAGAACTGGGTACCAAAAACGGTTCTGTCGGACGCCTTTTTTTTTTAGAGAGTACATGTTAAGCCATATTCTTTTTAACTTTACTATTTTTTCTGTTGTCCATACTTATTTTCTGCTTTTTCACTTTTTTACTGGGATGATCTAGACAAGCTCTGTGTTGAACTTTTCCCATTATCCTGTCATTTTTTTAAGATCATGGACTAAAATAAAAATGATTGGCTGATAGATTTTCCGGACTCAGGAGGGTCGGTGAGGAAATACCAGAGGAAAATTTTATCAAGAGTTGAAGGTGGTTACGGAGCAGGAAGCTTACCAGACAATTCCCGCGGAGTACATTTATCGAAACTTGGCGAGGTACGGTGCGATGACGAAGCAGAAAGTTTGCGAGCGCGATCCTTGCGAGGGAGCTAAAAAAAGTCTATCGCCCACCTCTAATACAAATATGTCATTCTTAGCATTCATAATCTGAC